TAAGATTATTGTTATAATAATTAATAATAATAATATTAATAATTTTAAAAAATAAATAAATTTTCATTTTAATCAAATAACTTATATATATAAAAACACACTAATATTTTAATTGCAAATTAGTTTTGATTAGAAAAAACGAGTATCAAATTTATATATAAACAACTAAATAATTAATGTTAAACATTAATACAAGATTTTTATAATAATAATAATAATATGATATTAAATTTATATATAATATATTATTATTAACAGGATAGTGTAAATTAATACTATTAGATAGCATATAAATTAAGTTTTTAGTTTGTTTTGTTGTATAAATTTATTTTTTATATATATAATAAAAATCACTAATAATTATTGTATATATAATTTACTTTTACTTATAAAGTATTTTTTTTGTTGCTAAAGAAATTCAATAAACTTTTGTTATTTAAAGAAAAAACTTAATTAAAATCAAATAAGTAAATATTTATTTATTTTTACATTTATAAATATATTTGGAAAATTATTTTTATATGATTTGTTGTTTATATTTTTTGATGACTATTGTGAAACTTTGTTTTTCTCCCCCCTCTCCCACCCACCCATCCCAGCAAAAAATATAAGTAATATTATTACAATACCAGTAATATTGTGAAAAAATACAGTAACAAAAAATAATAATTAATTAATTTTATGGCTAGAAAAATGTTTGCTAACAATAGTATGTTTAGTTTGGTTAGTAACTGGAAAATTATTTATATATATATATATATTTTAACGATTAGACGTTTAAATAAATTAATAATAATAATAATAATAATAATAATTGACACAATCTTTTATTGTTTGTATATGTAATTTGTAAATGTATTGTTTAAATATAATACAATGTGTGACTCATACAAGCAAACAAACAAATAAATTTTAAAAAAATTAAATATTAGAAAACAATAAATTGATTTTTAAATAAATAATATATTATTTCTAATGCATTGAAGAGTCTCTTAAAGATAACCAACAATAATATTTAAAAAAAAAATTGTTTATAAATTAAATAATTGATAATAATTGAAGGCTTCATAAAAATTAATGTTTTATATATATATACAGTATATTATATATATATTACTGTATTAAAAATTATTTATGTATGTGTAGACTATAATAATAATAATACTACTAATACTTCTAGATATGTTTGTACCCAAAAAAAATATATATATATATTTAATTTGATGAGCGAAATAAAAATAATATAAACTTATATTTTTTTTAAAAATAAAATCTATCATTATAATAATTGCCTCTCATTTTGGTTATTGGAAAAATAATTTATCAATTGTTTATATATATTTATATATATACTGTATAATTTATATATAATATAAAAAACATTAAAATATTACCGGTACTGTATATTTTAAATATATAATTTAATTTCTAAATCCAAAACAAAAATGATCATAAATTAAATTAAATTACTGCATTTAAATATAAATTGATTTATAGATAATGTATATATATATATATATATATATATATATATATATATATATATATATATAGTGTATATACTGTACAATACATAGGTATGGATGGATAGATAGATAGTTAAATAGGTATGTGTTTAATATATAATATTATTAAATATCTATAATGCAGTAATACTGACACAAATATTACAAAAGTGAGTCAAGTGGTGGAGCATAAAGACATCTCTCTCTCTCTCTCTCTCTCTCTCTCTCTCTCTCTCTCTCTCTCTCTCTCTCTCTCTCTCTCTCTCTCTCTCTCTCTCTCTCTCTGCAGTAGGCATACCAACACACCATTAGCTCAGAGCACTGGTAGTAGTAGTACAGTACTACTGCACTACTGCAACATAAAAAGTTTTTTTTCTCTCTCTCTCTCTCTTATTTCAAGTTCAAGGCTATTGGGTTTTCAGTCAATGATGATAATACTTGTACTGAAATATATAGGGAAAGAGTTTTATTTGTTGGATCTGCTTGTGCTCCGAGTGGAGCGCACACAGGGATAGTGTATTTGGTTGGTTGGTTGGTATGGCATTATTTGGTTGCTGTATGATGTATGGTATGGTATGGTATGGTACGGGTATGAGCCGATGCAATGTATGTGTGTTTTAAACCTAAATCAATACTTTATGTCTACTTAAATGACGTCTACACACTGTATGTGTATGTGTATGTGTATGTGTATGTGTATGTGTATGTGTATGTGTATGTGTATATGTATGTGTATGTGTATGTGTATGTGTATGTGTATGTGTATGTGTATGTGTATGTGTATGTGTATGTGTATGTGTATGTGTATGTGTATGTGTATGTGTATGTGTATGTGTATGTGTATGTGTATGTGTATGTGTATGTGTATGTGTATGTGTATGTGTATGTGTATGTGTATGTGTATGTGTATGTGTATGTGTATGTGTATGTGTATGTGTATGTGTATGTGTATGTGTATGTGTATGTGTGTATGTTAGCTGAATGTTAATGTATAATTGACTATTCATATGATATTTTTTGTTTGGGGAAAAAAATAAAAAATAAATAAAAAGATTTTCATATATTAAAAAATAAAACTAAACTAAATTTAAATATTTATGTATATATACTGTATATATTTAACATCAGCTAAATTGTTGGCTTAAATATAGCTAACAATTAGCGTTTTTTTTGTATTTCAAATATTTATTTTTAAAAACAACTTTTATAATATTAAAAAAAAAACTATTTATCAATCATACATATAATATGAATAATATTTTTTTAAACAATTACTTCCATTATAATAATTATTACTTACATTTTTTAATTACATATATATATACAGTTTTTTATATATATATATAAGACATTTAATTGCAAAAATTAATTCAATTTAATGAAAACAAAATTAATATATATATATATTTACATTAAATAATTGCTGAATAGCATAAAAATAAATTGATTGTTTAATCACATTTTGAAAATAAAAATGATATTAAAAAATATTATAATTAAAGTATAGACAAAATTAATAAAGTCTACGATATGTATGAATTTATTTATAAATTTATTGTTTGCTAATTCATTAAATCACATTGTTTTCCCTTATAATTATAAATTATTATTATTATTATTATTAGTTTATACATGTATTACGATAATTTTACACCAATTTCAATCAAAAATAAAAATATTAAAAATGTAAAAATAATAATAATAATCAATTTTGCAGCTAATTTTTATATACAGTTTTATACTAAAAATTATGTAATTAACAATTTAATTTATCTAGATTGTTTTTGTTTGTTTGTTTGTTCGTTTGTTTGATTTTTTATTTGTTTTGTTATTTTCTGTATAATTTTATTGGGAATTAAATTAACTGTATTTTCTATGTAGGCTTTAGTTTAACTAATCTTATATTTATTTATTTTTTACTTTTATTTATTATTTAGTTAATTTTGTTAATATAAATCTCAAATATTTATTAGTATTAAAATATTTAAGCCACTTATTATTTTATGCAAACCTAACTTTACTGGTACTGTGGATTTAAATTTAATATTAACTAAATGTGTCTAATAAAGTAGATTTAAATATATACATTGTTAGGTAGCAGTAATAATAATAATAAAATAGTTTGATATTTAAATAATTTATTAAAAAACACTATTATCTAACAATACAAATATATATATATACTGTATATATTTTATAGATTATATTTTATTAGATAAATACAATAATACTAATGATATTAAATAATAATAAATATTTTAAAGGTTTGTCTAATTTTGCTAATAATAATAATAATAATAATAATAATAATAATAATAATAATAGTTTTATACAAACATCGATAGAAACAATGATGAATCAAAATGAAATTTTCACTGAAACTTCAAGGCTTTATTTGTAAAGCCATTGAAAAAGTTATTATTATTATTGCATTTCGAGGAAATTTAATTATATAAAAATTTTCTTATATCACACATAGACACACATTTTTAAATATAATAAATAATAATAATAATAAATTAATATAAAGAAGATATATAATGTGAAAATACATTTTTTTCAAATATATTAATAAATTAAATATTTGATAAAAAAAATGTTTGGGAAAAATAATTAATGAAATCAAATTTCTACTATATATATATATAATATCTAAATATATATAAATCTAAAGGTATATAAATATACTGTATATATAAATACTTTATTTAATATAATAAATTTGTCTGTATTTTCCCACACAAAACTGGAAAATATTGTGTAATCATCGACAACAATGTAATTATCGTTAATTTATATATATATATATATTATTTAAAAGATTTTATTATTTTAGACAATTTTTTACGCCATATACTCTAATATAATTGTATCAAAAAAAAAAATTATTTCATGCCTGACGTCAAATACAAGCATTTTTTTCTACAAACAAAAACTAAATAAAATATATTTAATTATTAATTCAAATAATAATTTTTGATGTCTTCACTGAGTAAAATACAGTGTATAATACTAAAAATTATACTAAAAATTACTAAAAAAAATTAATATTTTATATCATTAGTACATAACAAAAAAAGCTTAATGTATTATACAATAATAATCCTTTAAAATAATATATTAAATAATTTATTTTTATTTTAGACGATACAATTTATAACCATAATAATTTTTTGTAGTCTAAAAACAATTTAGATTAAAAACAATATATGTTTTTTTTAATAAAAAAAAATATTGAAATATTTTTTTTTGTTGAAATAAAATACAATTGGCAATTAAAATGAGCATTAAAAAAATAGCAATAGCATGTGATAGTTAAAAATAAATAATTAAAAATAATTATAAAAAAAATAATATATAATATCTAAAATGTTAATTTTGGCTGTGAAACACACACACACACACACACACATAATTTTATTTAACAACTTTTATAATATCATATAAAACTATATATATATATAACTTATTTTAAAAATAAATCAAAATACTTACCGCATTATATGATGCAATAATATATGATGACTTAGATTTTTGACGATTTTTTGTTGTTGTTGTTGTTGTTGTAAAAAAGTAATATATTTTTGGGGTTCAGTTAAAGTCAATTGAATTATTATTATTATTATTCAATATATTTTTTTCAAGAAAATAAATATATTTTGCTAATTATTTTATTAAGTTATTTAGCAATTTAAAAAAACTATTGCAATAGTTTATATTGTTTTTTTTGTTTTGTTTGTATATTTATATATATATATATTAATATATATTAAACTATAACATACGTTAATTTTCACCAATAAAAAAACATATTGTAAGTCAATCGTATAATATAATAGTTTTTAATTTAATTATATAATAATTTTTTTAAAATATTGAAACAAATTTCAATGTCAAAAATTTTGACATTTTGTTATTAATAATTAATTTTGTTTTATTTCAAAAAACAGCAATAAAATAAAAACTTATTAAATAATAATAATATTATTATTACTAATTTCAAAAAATAAAAACTATTAACAAAATAAAAAATATTAAAAAAAAAGTATTACTTGTTTTTCGTTGATATTTTGTTGTCGTTATTATTATTATTATTATTATTGAAGTAATAAATAATTAAAAGTCATCGGAAAAAAATGTGATTATTATTATTATTATTATATAAAACATATGTAAAAACTTTCATTGAAATAGATATGAGATTTTTTTTTGTTAGCAAAAAAATATTTCTCATAGCGTCTAATGAATTGGCGATTAAATAATAATAAAAAACGACTCTTAATCTTAACATATAATAAAAAACATTAATAACAATACATTTTTTTTAAATAAAAGTAAATATCAGTCGATAAAACAAAATGTGTTTTTTTACGATATTTATATGTTAGTTAAATGATAACAAAAATAATAATAATAATAATAAGTCACTCATTGAATAACAATTGAATGACATTTACTGTATATATATATATATATATATATATATATATATATATATATGATATATAAATAAATATAAAATAATTTTTTTCAAAAACTCGATAATAAATTGCGTCGTAGTTTCAGATGTTTAGGGGAACGGGAGCTCTGGTATAGAGAAAACAGAGAGACATTCGGTGTGGAGAGTTGGCTGAAGAGAGAGAGAGAGAGAGAGAGAGAGAGAGAGAGAGAGAGAGAGAAGGAGAGAGAGTGTGTATATTAAAGGTCTACTAGAGGTTGAAGAGAGAGAGAGGAGAGAGAGAGAGAGAGAGAGAGAGAGAGAGAGAGAGAGAGAGAGTCATAGGGATGGATAGGGAGAGAGACAAACATTTTATAAGAAAAACTAAACTATTGTATAGATATATAACTATATATATATACTGTATATATATATATATATATATAATTCAATCGGTAATACCTCTATGAGCTAAAACACAACTACGTCTTTGCCATTTAACTCTATCCGTCAGTCAGTCAGTCAGTCAGTCAGTTAGTTAGTCGATTACCAGAGCCGACCTACCGGTGCGCTCTTCTATTGATAATGCATTGCAAAACACATATTGCAGTATTAGTTGCTGTTTAGTCGTTGTTATGTACGATATATAGTCATTGTCTGCAATCAAAAAAACACACATACATTACATTCACATTTGGAAACAACCACTACTTTGTTAGTACCGATTCTGCGCCTAATAAAAATAAAATCCTCATAAAAACCCACTGTTTTGTGGCAATTATGATGAGTACCCGAAAAAAAAACACCAGATTTTTTCAGTACCGACATCGTTGTCGTCATCATCAGTACCGCATACATCTACACCTATAGGATGGTATCGGTGCTGATGGTGATGATGGTGTCGTCACCGATAGCCGCGCGCGCCGATACATACATACACACACATACACACCGACGCAACGCTAAAAATTTTTTATTCAAGACAACAAACAAACAATTTATTAGTTATTATTATTAATATTATATTACATTTATATATAATATAACTTTTAGTTTTTTTGTTTTAGTTATTATTATTATTATTAGTTTTTAGTGTATTTGTGTAAAAACTTTTCCTATAAAATGTCTGTCCATTTTTGATTAGCGAGAAATGTCTTCATCGTCTCTCTCTCTCTCTCTCTCTCTCTTTCTCTCTCTCTTTATAAGTATAGCATGTCTTGTGGTGCCTCAAAGTGGTCGACAAAGACATACAGAGATTTTTTTTATTATCATTTAATACAATAGTAGATAATATGTTATATAATTCAATTGGTTTTCATATTGTATTGTAATTATTATTTAGTTATTTGTTTATTTTAATAGAGAGAGAGAGAGAGAGAGGATATTATTATTATTAAATTTATTTTTGGTAACTAAATTAGTTAATAATAATAATAATAATAATAAATAACATATCTATTAATCGTTTTTGAAAATCGAGAAAAAGAAAGAGAGAAGTATTTAATTACATAAAATTCAATAACATTTCACTTGAAATACACTTAAAAATAAAAAATACGATAATAAACGATAGTTTTTATAATTTATTTTTTGTTTTCATATATAAATCATGATTTTTTTTGTTTTGTTTTAAAACATACAATACAGTGAACAATAAATTAGTGAACCAACCGATAAATGATTGTTGAAGACATTAATGTCCTCACAATTAGCACTCATTTAGTTTTATTTTTTTTGTTTTGTTTTGTTTGGTTGGGTTAAGCATTGGGTTTAATACACACTTTCAATAAAATTATATATAGCTTTCTCTCTCTCTCTCTCTCTCTCTCTCTCTCTCTCTCTCTCTCTCTCTCTCTCTCTCTCTCTCTCTCTCTCTCTCTCTCTCTCTCTCTCTCTCTCTCTCTCTAAAGTATAAGTTAAATATTAATGATGATAATAATAAATAACAATTTTACGCCTAAATGAAATGTTATCATTAGTAATATAATTTTAAAATTCATATCACATCTCTCTCTCTCTCTCTCTCTCTCTCTCTCTCTCTCTAACTTTCACTCCTCAAAAAACACATTCAATTATTTATACTAAATAATTGCTAATAAATTACTTGGTTTTCTTACTTTTCTGGATTACAAAATAAAAAATAAAAATTATTACAGTATTTTTAACTGATAATTATTACATAACATAATAAGCAATAAAATTTTATTTTATTTTTGTTGTTGAAAAAAACAGTTTCTCTTAGTTTTCCTACTAATAGTAGACAGTTTTTTAACAACAAAAATAAATAATAATAAAAATATGTTAACTATTAAATAATTTTTTTTTAAAAACTGTATGTAATAGGAATTGGAAACAAAATTAATTTCAATTTTTTTTATTGCTTTATAAAAATGATTTATAAAATGTTAGATTATTTGTTGTTGTATTTCTAAAAAATATTATTAATATATTCACCATTGAATAGTTTGATATTAACATACAATATTAAATACATGTATATTAATAAAATACTATATTAATAATGTATTAGTAAAATTGTTTAATGTTTGTGTGTGTGTGTGTGTGTGTGTGTTAGCTAAAAATATAATACCTGGTACTGCCTAAAAAAAGTAAAATATTATATTAGACACACACACACACATTTGTTTTAGCTAACACACACACACACACACTCACTCACACACACACACACACACACACACTATGTTTAATAAAAGTATGTGTTGTAATACTGTGTGCAATGTATTTCAATGCTAAAACATACTCCTAGTAGTAGTAGTATTAATAGTAGTAGTATAAGCTATTGCAAAATATTTCCATATTATATAATCATTATAATTACCACTACATAGACAACACATAGAAACACACACACACAAAACTATATATATATATACAGTATATACTGTATGTACTCTACAACTAATATATTTCAATGTCAAAGTCATGCATACAAAAAAAAAGAGGTAGTAGTGGTTGATGTTGTTGTGTGTGTTGTGTGTGTTGTCTGTGCTATAAATGTATGTGCAATAAGTGTATATGTTTTATATCTATACAGTATTACAGTATATTATTATTATTATTATTTAAAAAAAACCTGATTTTCAAGGCATTCTCAAAATGAGTCAATTCATTAGAATCGTTATGATATATAGTCGTCGTCCCATCCATTTCTATACTACCCATCCATACTAACTGAGCGATTCATATATATATATATATATATACTGTATATTAATATATATATACTATCATCCAAAAAAAAAACAAAACGATACTATTAGCTAACATTCCCCCCTTTCACTTTCACTGTTGCTATCATACAATAATAATAATAATATGTGCCAAACCCTTAAATAAAACCGGACTTACAATATATATATATATATATATACTGTATATATAATAAACTGCATAATAATGAATATGTAATAATGCACTAAAAAATATTTTTTTTCATAATTTATATGCAATCGCTTTGCACTTATTAATACTACCTAATAATAATTTATAAGAATCAAATACTATACAGTACTTTATATATATATATATATATTATAAAATATTTTCAACAAAAAAATGATTTCAATGATATCGTTGTTGTATTATTGTATTATATGTCAGAGAGAGAGAGAGAGAGAGAGAGAGAGAGAGAGAGAGAGAGAGAGATTTAACGTTATGATTATGATTATTATATTTTTTTGATGATTCATAAATTGTATAATAATTTTTTTTATTTGTAATATTTGATTGTTACCAGCAATAACTTTCAAGTAATACTGGCAATACAAACAAACAAATTTTTATATATAAATTTATTTATTTGATATGATATTGTATATGACTGTATATTTATTTACATAAAAAAATCTAAATATTTTTTAGTGGCAAAATATAATACTATATATATATATATCTAAAAATTATTCAACACTTTCAACACTAAAAAAAATTATAACTTTTTATTCGTAATGATAATGTTTTTAATGTATAGTTTATTTATTATGTATATATATATAATTCTCTCAAAAGTGATGATAATTTTTTTTAAAATTTTTTTTTAGTTATCTAACAAACAAAGAGAAATATTTTTCCACTTTCAAAAAAGGCACACAATTATTATTATTATAAACTCATAATCATTATTATTATTATTATTATTATTTTATATAGAGATGATAATCAAGGAGTTGTCAAAAATAAGTTAGTTATATACTGTATATATATATATAATATATATACACTGTATATAAGTTGATGGGGGGGGGAAAGGGTTAGGTCTTTCACAATATACAATAGACAGCACAATATTATTATTATTTTTGTATAAATGTTGGGCTCAATGCCAAACATAAAGTTGGGTTCAGTACACCTCATGTTAAGCCAATCAATCATTATTTGTTAAAAATAAAATCAAAAAAAAAATTAAAATAAATTCATTTTATTTGAGTTAAAATAAAACTAGAAATTACATTATTAAATATATATATAAAAGTATTATTTTTTTGACGTATTTTTCAAATAATAAAAATATTTTTATTCTCTAATAGATATATATATGAACTTATTATATGATATACACTGTATTATACTGTAATACAAAAAAGTTAAATCTATAATTCAAAGTCAATTTAACCTAAAAAAAAAAATTCAATGTCAAACGTTTTTTAATAGACTAAAAAACATAATACTTAAATTATTAATACTGTATAAAGTATATTAATAATAATATACTATACTTTTATAATGTATTTATTAAATAATAATGTTTTAATAATGACATTTGAATTAAACTCAATTCCCTTGAAGTCAAACAATATAATAATAATAATAATAATAATAATAATAATTTTATATATGTGTGCATTATAGATGTTTAATTATATATTATCTTATATTTTTTTGATAGAGAGAGAGAGAGAGAGAGAGAGAGAGAGAGAGAGAGAGAGAGAGAGAGAGAGAGTTAAATATATAGTTCACTATACAATTATTTTGATAGACATTTTTATTTTATATAAATAACTTGTGATTAGATAAGCAAAAAATAAAATAAAAAATGAAAATGAGAGACACAACAAATAAAAATGTTTAATTAAAAAATTAAATTTTTATTTTGCTTGACATTAACAAAATAAAAAAAATAACTTTTGATTTTTATGATTATACAGTATTTTATTTTAAATTTGTTATATAATTAATTTTTTTGTTTTTTCAGTATTTAAGCCAAAAAAAATTATTATTATTATTATTATCGAAATGGAAAGTAATAAAAATTAATTACTATAAATAACAAAAATAATTATTATTATTAATTGATATAAGTGTAAGTTTTTTTTCGGTGTTGTTGTTATTATACTGTATTTATTATATACTATATTTTTGCTACTGTATTATGACTACTGCTAGTTAACAATAATTTTTTTGTTGTTGAATAAAATTTGATAATAACATCAACATCACTGACACAATAACAACAAAACAAAAATTATCAAATAATTTGTCGATAAATTCAATAACATAACTATAGTTTTAAAAAACAAAATATGTATATATATATATATACTGTATATATATATATATAAACATAATTATGATAAATAAATTATCAAATAAAAAATAAAAGTAAAAATTTTTATTTAATATGATTAATAATAATAATAAATTTTAATGATTAGTCATCCAATGATTTAATAAAAAAAATTATTATTAAGACATGTTAAATATATATGTACAGTATATAAACGATTAGGTAATAATTATTATGATATGTCTTATTATCTATATTTTTAAAAATAATATATATTATTATAAAATAATTTTTTTTTAATTTGAAATCAATTTATGTCTACACTGTTTTTTTAAAGTGTACGTTTAACTAAATGTATAATTATATAATATATATATATATATATATATATATATATATACAGTAGTATTGATTTGAATACAACCTTATATTAAAAATATTTCAAGTATTTTTGAATAAATTTATTTTATCAAAAAATAATTATCATTAACATTCAAGTTTTATATTATAATAATTATAATTATAAAAACATTTAGTTACTTTTAAACATTTCTAACTAAATATTAATTAATATACATATATATTTATATATATATTATACATAACATAGAGTTTAAGTTTATTGATATATAAAAATTTAATTTATTTAATGAATTGAAATATTAGAAATATTTAAAACAAAAGTGATTTTTAATAATAATAATAATGTAATTTCAAGTTCAATAATATAGTGTATTTGAATCACTATTAGATGGCATTAACTATCCATTATTTTATCAAAAAATATTATCTAATATTAAAATGTAATATTATTTAAACAAAGAAAATTATTATACTATTATAACTATCATCTAAAAAATATTATGCATTATGTAATATATATATATATACAGATTAATTTAATTTAATTAAAACAAATTGTTATTAAATAAAATTTAATTATTATACTTACATGTATACAAAAGTTTATTATAGTAATAGTTTTATGTGCATGATGAATTTATAGTTTTTAAAAATAATGATTTAAACTCATGATTACTTTAATTTCTAGAAAACTATAATTTAAGACAAAAAAATGTTTTATATTTGATATAAATTTGTAATAAAAAAATACATTAATATATTAATAAAGTTGATAAAAGTTGGCGACACTGTATTTATATATATATATATATTATATTATATATATATATATTGCTTGTTTAGTTTTTTAAAATAATTATAAATTATTTTTTTCTAATTATAATTAAGTACTAATTACTATCTTGTATTACATAACATTAATAACAAAATCTATAAATAATTATAATTATAAAAAAATTATTTCTAAAATATTTTTTTAAAAAAATAAACAAGCTATTTTTATGGGATATATATATATATATTAATTTTGCTAATTTTTAACTAATAAACAATAATTAACATAATATGTCCCCAAATTATAGATCCAAAATAATATTTTTTTTATAAAAAATTAGACAAATTTTGTTTATAGAAATTTGTTTTTATTATTATTATTTTTTTAAAGTCATAAAAAATATTTATCACATTAAAAAAATTATACAATATATATGTACTGTATATTTATTACAAATTTTTTTTATAATTAATTAAAACTTTTACGAGTTATTTATATTTTACAATGTTTTGTTACTACATTTACAAATTAATTACAAAAACAATTAACATTTAACATAAATAAATAAATATTTTTAAAAATTATTTTAAAAATTTAATAGATTTTTGTATTAATACTTACAATTATTAATACAGTATTTATATATATATTAACTGTATTATGATATCAATTAGAAAATAACAATTATTACATAAAAATTATTTTAATTAATTAATATTATAGTAGAAAAATATAATAAATCTAAAATAATTGACGTTGATGAAAAATGTATAATATACTAATAATATACTAATAATAAATAATAATAGATATAAACACAAACATAACCACTAAAAAAAATTTTTTATAAGCAATCATAAAATAATAGCACTCAATATAATGATTGTCATCAAATGGGTTATTATTATTATTATTATTTTATTTTTTTTTTGTAATTTTATTATTATTATTATAAAGATATACGAATTCTTTCGCATCATTTAATTTTTTAGAGTATATTTTATATATATATTTCTATATATATTAAAGTATTTTATTTTATTTTTCATTGTGACTATAATAAGATATTTATTTATTTATTTTTTGTTAACTAAATAGAGAGGTATTTCTACATAAAATAAATTTATTATATTTTTTTCAATATAATAATGAGTTCAACTAAAATTATTAGTGAAATATAGTATTTTTTTATATACAGTATATCACAATAATTATTAGTATTAGTATTATTGTTTAGTATCAATAAATATATCTTATTAGTAGATTTTAGTTTTAGCATTAGTTAGTTAGCAAACCTAATTAAAATGCTATAAATTTTATTTTGTATTAATAGTTTGATGTTTTTTTGGAACTAAATAATGCTTTTTTAATATCTAATATATTTATAAATTAAACATTAATTAAAATAAATACAAAATAAAACAAAACAATATATATAACAAACAACAAAAAATATATAACAAAAAATATTTAATTATCAATTCTGTGATCTGTCTTTAACAACAACAACAAAAAAAACAGTTATTTATTTATTTTTAGTTATCAAGTGATTACTTATATTTTATATATGATATTAATCATACAGTATATGTCTTATATCATGGACACCCTGTATAGTGACACACATACTGTAGTATTATTATTATTAAAATACTATAATATTATTATATACAGTATAGATATTGGATGGCTGTCCTCGACTGGTATATGGCCTGTAATTATGGAGTTTTTTTTCTGGTTAGTCATCAATGACTTTCTGTAGCTCTTCCTCCCAGAGCCGCTCTCTCTCCTCCATCTTCTTTCGATGCATTTCTCTAATAAATTAATAGATAAATATTATAGATAAAGATTAATAAATAAAAATAAGACATAAAAAAATTTAATTAAAAAAATAAATAAATATTTATCACAATTACAATATATTGGATCACAAATTCTAGATATATATATATACAATAGATAGGTATATAAAAGTATAGAAAAACATTATAATCATATAATATATCTAATTGATTATAATCTTAATTATATTATATTAAGATCTATAATAGACTGTATTATACTGTATATACAATATATTTAAAGCCTAAAGTATGGTCTGAGGACTGACCTAACAAAAGTTATAAAAAAATATAATTTAAAGGATTATTACAATATATAGTTACTATAAGATAATTATGTTTGTTATAGTATTATCATACAGTATATATATATATATATATATATATATATATATATATAACTTATAACTATATATAACCTTATATATATATGATTATATAGTATTATATTCAGTACACGTTTTTAATAAGTTTTGATAAATTACTTATAAATTGTAATGAAATGTCTTACACTTGAATACACTATTTATTTTTTTTGGTGCTATAGTTGTTATTTTTCAGTTGAATTTTGAAAAATTTATTATTAAATTTATTATAATTTTCTTTTGTGGTATGAAAAATAAATTATATAAAACAAAACACAAAAAAATCATTTATACTATATAATTGAATTAAAATTTGATTATTTAAAAAAAAGAAGAAATTGAATCAATACTCTTATAGTTAAACCAAAATAATAATAATAATAATAATAATAATAATAATAATAATAACATTATAATTAAATTATAACTATATTATTACAGAATTTATTTAATAAAAACTTTCATTTGCAATGTATTAGATTAAAAAAAAATTTTTGTATTATTATTATTATTATTATATATATATATAAGAAAAGTATTTAATTTAAAAAACAATTGTATTTAAATTCAAATGCAAATTCATTATAATTGTTAACAAAAATTATTTTTTTTGATACTAATGTTATTATAAATAGCATTAATGGCATTAATATTGTCTATAAAACTAACCCAACAAAACACACACACATATAATTCATTAGCATTTATTAGACATTTAATTAATTCATAGCACACTTCAACAAAAAATAATATTCAAAATACTATACATCATATAGAAGATTGAATTTGCATTAAAATAAAAATTATTATTTTTTTAAAAAAACAAAGATAATTTAATGTTAATTTTTGATTTAAAAAAAATTTTTTTTGAACAAAGAAAATGTTTTTAAAACATAACTTTAATTTTTTTGTTGTTGTTGAAAGAAACAACAAAAAACAATAATCTAATTATATTATTAAAACCATTAAAAAAACAATATTATTCATCAATTTTAATATACATTAATAGTATAGCAATTATTATGATTAAAATGTTTCTAAAAATATAATATATTTTGTTTTATTTTTTCTAAAAAAAATTATTAACATTTTAATTATAATATTTTATAGAATATTTCATTTTTATTTATATTAGAAATTTTGTAGAAATATTTTAGTTTTTTTTATTTTATTTTTTACTAAATTTTTTTTCTATAAACTACCTGATATTATATTAGAGATTTAGAAATTAAAAATTTTTGTTATTATTATTTGAAACACAAAATTTTAATAATAATAATAATAATAATACATAATATGAATATCAGTAAATCTCACTATAAATTTCAACAACAAAACTAATAATATTTTATATATACATACAGTAAATATATACTAAATATATATATATATAAAATTTCATTTATGTTCACAAAGAAAATTCAATAAAAATCTAGACTCACACATAAATATAACCAAAAAAAAAAACTTTTTTTATATATTATTTATTTGTTATTACATTATATCTGTATATACTATATATATTGTATTATATAAATATATTGAATATAAATTTGTAACAATACATTGGAGACATACATAGATAGATAGATAGATAAAATATATAAAGAGAAACAAAACTATGTTATACTGTACTATATCTTAAAACAAAAAATAATTTACTTTACTTTTTATATTTATTAGACGATAAAATTTGAAACTATAAGAAAAGATAGGTTTTATTTTTAGGTAGTTTAACACCACAAACACAATAATATTATTTCTAAGTTAATAATAATAATATTGCAATTATTATTATCACATATAATAAAAATTATGTTTAATATTATATATACTAAACTAAAAAAAATAAAAAGTTTTTTTTCTAAATTATATTTTTTGTTAATATTCAACATATATAATAATTTAGTTTTAAAATTATAAGTATATTAAAAGATCAAAATAAAATAAATGTAATCACGAATTCCTGAAAGGAATACGTATATGCATTCTATAAGTCGGTCTGTCTGTCGGTCTGTCTGTCGGTCTGTCGGTCTGTCTGTCGGTCTGTCTGTCGGTCTGTCTGTCCCACGAGGACATAGGTTCGAATCCACTATCCGCTACAAATTTTTTTTGAATTTTTTTTTTGTTTTTTTTTCTTATTTAAGTTTATTTTTTAGGAAATTGAAGAAAATGGTTTCCAAAAATTAATTAAAAAAAATTTTGAATTTTTTTTTGAATTTTTTTGAATATTGATTTTTTATTTTTTTCGTTTTTAAGTTTATTTTTAAGGAAAATAGTAGTTTATTTTGTAATACTGAATCATTTGATACCCCACATGACTATAGTTGTTTATTTTGTCATACTAAATCGTTTGATACCCTACATAACTATAGTTGATTTTATTTTATCATACTGAATTTAATTTTTAATTATGATTAGGAATTCGTGTGGAAATGCTTTCTAGCATTCTCAACTGGTTTTTTTTTGAATTTATTAAAAAGTCTTATACAGAAAAAAACAGTTTTATTCATGAGATTAACAAATTCAACGAAAGATATTTAATGCATTTTCAAATCATAAACTAATTTTTATTGAAAAAATTTTATCACTAAAAATGTATTTTTTGTTTTGTTTTTACTATTTATAGATAATTTTCTTCTCAATGTTAGTCTCATATTATTATATATATATAATATTATATATA